TGTGAAGGGTAGGGGAAAGGTAATAAGGGAAAAGAAAACACATGAGAAAATGGAAATAATGTGTTTCTAAATGGTGAGGGGAGGAGGGGTGAAGGGAGGGCAGGGACAAGGGGAAAAATGAAGCAACACCTGTCATGTAAAGGTATAAGATACAATAATAATGAATGTAACTGTACTGTACAGTTACAGTTGTACCTGTACTGAATGTACCTAAAATATACCAATAACTCAATGAGAAAAAAAAAAAAGAATCCTAAGTCAAAACCTAAACAGAACTTTCTGTGTCATATAATCCTCTAGGTAACAGAAATCCATTGCAGGGATAAAATATTAAAAGCTGATAGAGAAATATGATGAGTCAAATATAAAGATAGCCCATTAGAATTAAAGCACACTCCTCAACACAAACCTTAAAGACATGGAGGGCTTGGAGTGAAATATTTCAAGCCCTAAAACATAAAAACTTCCAATCCTGTTTTATGAACCTTCCAAAATTTTTCCTCAAATTGATTGAGAATTACGGTATTTCCATGACAAGTAGCACCTCAAGAAATTCATGACTATCCAACCAGCTTTATAAAAATTTCCAAGGATATCCTAGAAAGAGATGATGAAGCCAGAAATGTTAATATCTAAAAGAATACACATGGCAGGATGAGTAGTTTAAAAAATAGGAAGATAAAGAAATCATCAAGAGGAGAACAATTCAATAACAGGAATAAATCAATTTCTTTCAGCAATAATTATCAATGTGACTAATCTCAACTCCCCATTCAAAAGGCACATAATTGTAGACTGAATCAAGAAAGAAAATACAATGATGTGTAATATACAAGAACTATTTAATCCCAAAAGAAATTCACAGATTGAAATTTGTGGATGGAAAAACAATATTCCATGCAGTAGAAAGCCAGAAAAAAACAGAAGTTGCTATCCCTATCCTAATTTTAGAAAAATTGGATTTCAAGCCAAAACTGATCAGAAGAGACCAAAGGTCACTGCATATTGGATACAGGAACAATTCAACAAGAAGATAGAACAATTATAAACATTTGTGCACCAAACACTCCTGCACAAAACTTCAGAAAATAAACAATATTGGACATTAAAAGTGAGATAAATGCTGGTACAGTTATTATCGGGGTCCTCAATACCTCCCTGTCACAAATAGGCAAATCAATTAGACAAGGAATTAACAAAGTAATATTATAATTGAACCAAATCTTTGAACAAGTGGACCTAATCAGTATCTACAGAGTGTTTCCCTCAGCATCAATAGGATACACATTCTTCTCAGCAGCCCATTGGACTTTCTCCAAAGTAGACCACATACTAGCCAATAAAACATACTTAAGTAAAGAAAAAGAATTGAAATTATCCCATGCATTTTGCCAGATAATAGTGCAGTGAAACTAGAAAGCAATGGCAAAAGAAACCACAAAAATTCTGCAAATACATGGAAATTAAGCAGTATCTTCTTGAATAATCAGTAGGTCCCAGAAGAAATTAGGCAGTTCCAAGAATCAAATGATAATGCAATACAACATACCAGAATCTATGGTACACAGTGAAGGCAGACCTGAGAGGAAAGTTTATTGCTGTAAATGCCCACAACAAAAAAACAGAATAAGCTCAAATGAAGAAGCTTTGGATGCATCTCAATATTCTAGAAAAATAAGAATGATTCAAATCCAAATTTACCTCATGGAAGGAAATTATAAAGATAAGAACAGAAATAAATGCAATTGACACTAAAAAAAACAAAAAAACTAAAAAAACAACAATAACAAAAAACAAAGAATCAGTGGATGGATTTGGTTCTGTGAAAGATTAAACAAAATAGACAAATCCTGAGCCAGTTTTTTCAAAACAAGGAAAGGAAAGACCCAAATCCAGGTGATTAGAAATAAAAAAGGCAAAATTATAACACATCTGATGAAATCCAGAAGATCATTCGTAACGACTTTGTGAACCTGTACTCAAATAAAATGAAAAGTTCAGGAAAAAATATATTTATGAATACATATCTAGGTTAATAAATCTGAACCAAGAAATAATTTATTATCAGTCAATGAAATTGAAGAACTAAAAAAAATTATCAACTAAGAAAAGCCCAGATCCCGACAAGTTCACTGCCAAATTCTACAAGAACTTTAGAGTAGATCTGAAGTCAATACTCTAAATTCTTTAATAAAATCAAAAGAGAAAGAGTACTTCCAAAGTCATTCCTGAAAGTAAACATTATCTTGATTTCAGTACCAGAAAATGTTTATTTGCTGTTTCTACTTCTTTGAAAAATGTCTGTTCATTTCAGATGCCCTTTTTTGGGGCTGGGTCTTTAAATTGGGGAGGTCTGATTTTTTTTTAAAGTTCTTTATATATTCTAGATAGTAGACCTTTGTCTGAGGAACAGCTGGTAAAATTTTTCCCACATTGTGGGTTGTCTCTTCACTCTTCTGGTGGTTTCTCTTACTGCGCAGAGCTTTTCAGTAAGTTGAGATCCCAGTTGTTGATTCTTTGTGCTAGTTTATGTATGATTGAGGTTTTGTTCATGAAATTTTCCCTATGCCAATATCTTAAGGAATTCTACCTAACCTCTCTTCCAGCTGGTTTAGTGTTTCTGTTTTAATATTTAGATGTTCAATTCATTTCAATTTTAGTTTAATGCATGGTGACAGATATAGATCTATTTTTAATCTTCATCAAGTTGCAACCCAATATGAAAAAATGTTCAACATTGCTGGTCATTTGAGAAATGCAAATGAAAACTACACTGAGATTCCACCTCAACCTAGAAAGAATGGCTGTTATCAAGAAATCAACCAATAACAAATGTTTGTGGGGTTGTAGGGAGAAAGGAACCCCTCTCCATTGTTGGTGGGAACGCAGACTGGTGCAGTCACTGTAGAAATCAGTAGGGAGATACCTCAAAAAACTAGGATTAGAGGTCTCATTGACCCAGCTATTTCCCTGCTGGTTATTTTGCCAAAGAATTAAAAGAATCATACCACAGCAATGTACATGTACCCATGTTTATAGTGGTATAGTTCATAATAACTAAAACTTGCCCAATAGCAGATCAACTGGTGATTGGATAAAGAAGTTACATTTTTTTAATATAAAATGGAGTACTACTCATCCATAGAGGATGAGAAACTAGAGACATACATAGCTAAATGATTGCATATTGAGGCCATACTCTTAGTAAAATAAACACGGCACACATGTGTAAATAATAAATAGTTTCTCTGGTGTGAGAAACTAAGTGTAAATAAGGATCAAAATTTAGAACAGATAATGTGAAATAGGAAGATAAGGCTCAAAGGGAAAGGGGAAGTGGAAAGGGTAGGGGAAGGGAAATGAATAAATATTAGAAAAGGATAAAAGGAAATGAAGTCTTTGTAAATAGGGAAGGGTGGAGGGGTTGAAGGAGGGCAGGGGCTAGAGGAAAAATAAGAACCAAGATATAACATGTAAAGGTACAAATTTCCAATGATGAATGTCATCATACTGTATACTTAACATGTACCAATAAATTTAACAAAATAATAATAATAATAAAAAACCTAGAAATTGAGCCTACCAAAAAAAGAGAATTACAGGCCAATGTCTTTAATGAACACAGATGCAAAACTTCTCAACAAAGCTGGGTGTAGTGGTGCACACCTGTAATCCCAGCACTTGGGAGGCTGAGCCAGGAGAATCGCTGTGAATTCAAGACCAGCCTGCAGCCTGGGCTCATAGTTTATGTATATCTATCTATATATAAATATATATATATATATATCTATATATCTATATAGATATATAGATATATATATATATCTTCCATATATATATATGGAAGAAGTTAAATTACCATTATTTACAGATGATAAGGCTTTCTACATAGATGATCCCAAAAACTCCACCAAAAGATTCCTAGAATTAATAACCAAATTCAGTGCCATAGCAGCATACAAAGTCAACACTCAAAAATCAAGTGTTCCTGTACATCAATAATAAACTCACTGAGAGATAAATTTGGAAACAATACTTTTCACACTAGCATCAAGTAAAATTAAATACTAGGAATCAACCTAACTAAGAAAGTGGAAGATCTCTGTGATTATAGCTACAGTACTTTGAAAAAGGAGATTTAAGAGGATATCATAAAATGGAAAGTTGTCCCATATTCCTGGATAGTCAGAACACATACAGTCCAAAAATGGCTATAATTCCAAAAATGTCATACAGATTTAATGCAATCTCAATCAAAATACCAATAGCACCCTTTTCACAGAACTAGAAAAAAGAACTCTAAAATTCTTATGGAACCAGAAGAGAATTAGAATTGTGAAAACAATTCTGGGCAAGAAGGGAAAGGCAAGAGGCATCAGAATTCTGGACTTCAAGTTATACTACAAAGCTACAGTGATAAAAACAGTACTGTATTTTGGGAAAAAACAGACTTGTGTATTAGTGGAACAGGTTAGAAAATGAAACAACTCTAGGAAGGGCAGGAAGGGTGTTAAAAAAGGCAATGAGAAATGTCATGCTCATGTACAAACTCCCCATGAAATGTAATCATACTGTACTACAAAAAAATGCCAATAAAAAATTTAAAAAGAATATATTCCTACAGGTATAATAATTGAATTAAAGTGATTGAATAGGGTAAGGTACATATTAAAGATATGGATATTTCATTTCATTATATTTCAGCATTAAGTTTCATTCCCAGCATTGTGAAATCTATATATTTGATATGCTTTTGTCTGCTGAGTAAGTTTTGAATAAACAAGACAGCTCACCACTGGGAAGCAATAAGTTAATTTAGAAACTAACATGCAGTTCCACCGAAACTGTTGCAATCTACTTCATCTTGTTATTTGTGCATATAAAGATATCTATCTCATAAACTTACTGAAATGAAGGTGTTTTTATGTCCCTCAGACATATTTTTAAACAAATACCAGGCCTCCTCAAATTCCATACACAAACTTCAAGTTCAAACTTACCAGGGAGGAACGTGATGATTGACACGTCAGTGTTCGGGCGTTCTTCAAAATCCATCATCACTTGTGCTGACCCCTGCCTGGTGTAGCATCTCACCGAAGACCTGTACTGGACATCCCCCGTCCTGTGGATCACTGCAGTTACCTGCCTGTCATCTTCACTGCCAGTGTATATCCGTTCTTTGAACTGCATCTTAGGCACTGCAAAAACATGGATCAAAGTGAACAGAAATTTCTTTAAGGAAAGTGCCATTTCAGAAGACACAATTTGATGGAGAGAACAGGGGAAAAGTAGTGAGAATTGGACTTCAGTCTTGACTCAGTCATTTGGCAATGTTTTAACTTTGGGTAAAGCACAACTTTGAGATTTTGGTTTCTTTATTGTTCATATTTTGCTCTGCTTGTTTTGTGGAGTAAAGATATGCAATAAAATGCTAAGTAGTAAAATAAAAAAATTTCAGGTCTTTCCTGCTACATGCTTAGTCATGAATTTTTCAGAATTTATTGATATTGCTCACATAATTATAAGCATAGTTTATGCAGATCATGTTGGGGAAGGTGATACTGTGTGTGTAATTATTAGATGACATTTAAGCTGTGTCAATTAAATATAGCTCTCATTAACAACAGGTTAGATTTCCAAAACAATGTCAGAATTATGTTGAAGAGCATTCAGGATTTCCTTATGATAAAAACTCTGAAGAAAATAGGTTTAAAATGGAAGCAGCCGGGCGTGGTGGCGCATGCCTGTAATCCCAGCACTCGGGAGGCTGAGTCAGGAGGATCACTGTGAATTCGAGACCAGCCTGGGCTACATAGTGAGTTCCAGGTCAATCTAAACTACATAGTGAGACCCTGTCTCAGAATAAAAAAATAAAAAAATAAAAAAAAATAAATAAAAATAAAATGGAAAAAAATGGCCAACTATTCCTTGGAAAGAGAGCTAACATCTAGAATATATAAAGAACTAAAAAAAGATTAGACTCCACAAAACAAAAGACCAAATCAAAAAATGGTTGGTCAAAATAAATAGACACTTCTCAAAAGAAGTAAAAATGGGGCCAGGGCTTTAGCTCAGTGATGCCACTGTCTGTCTTGCAAGTGCAAGGACCCAAGTTTGATCCCCAGTACCAAAAAAAAAAATAATAATAAATAAATAAAAGAAGTCAATGTGAATTAAAACTACACCTTACTACATCTTATTTACATCTTACCACAACAGAAAGAATGTGGTATCATTAAAAAAATCTAATGATAACAATGTTGGTGAGGTTGTGTTGAAACAGGAACTCCTCTATAATCACTATGGGAACCAGTGTGGAGATTCCTCAAAAAACTAAAAATAGAAATTCCAGGGCCAGGGATTTAGCTCAGTGGCAATGGACCTGCCTCAGAAGCGCAAGGTCCTGAGTTTGATCCCCAGTACCACAAAAATAAATAAATAAAGAAAGAAATTCCATTTTGTATCTTCTCAAAAGAGATAAAGACATCACATTATGAGGATACATGCATATTCATGTTTATAGCAGCACAGTTTACAAGAGCTACATATTGGAAACAGTGTATATATCTGTCAACAGATAAATTGACAAATAAAATGTATTTATACACAGTGGAATACTACTGTGCTATAAGGAAAGATAAACTTCAGGCATTCCTAGGCAAATAGACACAACTTAAAAACATACAGTTAAGTGAGATAAGTAGATAAGTCACACACACAAAATTAAATAGTGCATGGTTTCTCTTATATGAGAAACCCCAAAATAAATACAAATAGATGTATACAAATAGAGTGCAAGACAGAAGATAAATAGAAAGTTTCTTCTTCCTAAGAGAGAATCTTTTTTGTTTCTGAGTGTCTTTAATGTAATGATACACAGTGTATTAACTATTGTTGATTTCTCATTATTTTGTCCTGAAATTTTGTTATATTAAAAAAATAAAAAGAATTCTCTTGTGATGATGTGTCAGAGAACCCAGCCCTATGCCTGGCCAGTTTTTTGTCTCATAACAGTGTACTTGGCACCTTCTTTGAGGAGTGGCTGGGTGAAGGAAATGGCAAAAAGCGTGGAAGTAGAAAAGCCCACTGACCCTCAAGGATCTGTGCAGCTCAACCGATGGCTCCACCCCTGTGTGGCGAGGAAATTCCCAATACACCATCCAGACACTGATGACAACACCACTTTTTTCTTTAATATTTGAGAGGAATAAATGTTTTCTTCTAGCACTATCTAATTCTATCAAAATGATCAGGTGGCTAAATGAAGACCTGGTCAGCTAGTGTATTTGTATCGAATGTTCAACTGTGTCCCTCCATCCATTCAGATATCAGAGTCCTAAGGCCCAGTACTCACCAATGTGCTCATATTGGTGGTGGTGTCTTCTAATCAAATGGAATAGGTCCTTAGGGTACACCGTAGTCCACTATGACTGGTGATCTCATGCAAAAGGGAAATTGGACACAGAGACATATGTAGGGAAAAGGATATGAAGGGACAAGATGACGATTTTCTGGTGAGAGAGACAGACTTCCTTGACCATCCTCAGAAAGAACCAATTTGGTCAACACTTGTGTTTTGATTTCTAGCCACAAACTGTGAGACAATACATTCCTTTGGTTTAAGCCATCATATCTGTAGTTCTTTTTAATGGCAACACTGTCAAATGAATGTAGGTATACCAATTCCTTGTATCATTTGCCATTCTCCTGTCATTTATATAAACCCTAGCTTAACGTTTCACTTATCACTGTAAAATTAATAAATACTCACAATCAGAGATAGAGTCATTTATGGACACTGTGGCCTTGCTGGGCTCACCAAGGGCAGCATTCAGAGGCATCCGAAGCACCAGCTCAAATTTCTCAATTCCTTCCAGTACTGGCTGTCCAAGGTCATCCAGAATGGTAACACGAACAGTCTGCATGTTGACTCCGGGTGCAAAATCTAAATTACGACTAATTCCAACATAGTCTGTTCCAGCTATGAAGTCATAAAACAATTATTCAGTGAGAACTACATATTTTAAATTACTAGAAATAAATTATATAGATATACCGACATTCCTCCTTTAATGACTGAGTTCTATCTCTCTGACTAGGTCATTAAATGAGTTGATCACTCAATAGGGGAACTGTGTATAGTATGGACATTACAATAGTCAGAACAAAGAAATGGTCAAAGGAAACTCCAACTCAGTGGCTTGCTTTTATCTGCATAACTCTTTTTTGTTTGTTTGTTTGTCTTTTTGAGACAGGGTCTCACTATATAGTTGAGACTGACCTGGAGCTCACTATGTAGCCCAGGATGGTCTCGAACTCACAGAAATCCTCTGCCTCAGCCTCCTGAGTGCTGGGATTACAGGCGTGCACCACCATGCCCGGCCCCTGCATAACTCTTACATGCAATACTGTATTGTATAACAGAACATGAAACTACAGTACTGTACAGTATAACCAGCACAAATTATAGTAATATTCTATTGTAGAAGAAGCCACCATTAGGCTGTACTGCTATTCACATTCCTGCATGATACATCTGAATGCAAATTATAAGTCATAGAGGTGGGTCATAAGTGCTAACAGCTTACCTCGGCTGTCATTAAACAGGTAAGGTAGATTGTTAAACAAGAAATATATGCATTTATAACTTATTTTTAAAAAAGAGATCAGTATAATACTATGGAAAAGTACCTTAACAAAAGGCAAAAGATTAGTCTTTACATAATTATTGAGGTAATGGATCAATGGTTTTGAATTTTATGTCTAATGGTTGGACACAGGGTTAGTTATTTTTGCTTTCTATGCTATAGTTCTCCATTTCTATTAGAATCCTCCAATGAAGCTAATATAAGTGAGGCATAAAACAATCAGTGTGTCAATCACAGATGATCATAAATGATATATGAAATACATACATTTCCAATTTTGTTCATGTTAGTTAACTATCTAATTTCCTAACTTGCTCTAATTTCTGTGTTTCTGGAGCTACTACAGAATATCCTATTTAAGTGTATCGTTGCCTGTTGGTCAGTGTAACAAATTTCAGGTACTGTAACTTCTGTCCCACACACCCCAGCCATTCTCCTCTCAGTGATGAGAAATGAGAGCACACTTCAATTCTCAAAAATATATTTGGTATTTTCTTTAATATTTTTCAGGCAATATAATATAAATATATATAATA